GAGACCTGTCCAACATGGCAGCAAGTAGGTTACAACATGAACATGAAACAACAGATAACACAAAAGGACAGGGCTACATGTACACACCTAGAGACATTGACACGTACCAACAGTATAGTATATCTCGCCCTGTCAATGAGCCTCACCTGCTTGGCAACACCTGTATTGTTTTTGAAGTGGTGGAGAGACAATGCACAGTTTGACCCACTGCTGGCACCCATGGACAAAGCATATCTCTCTGTCCCAGCAACATCAGTACCAAGCCAGAGAGTTCTTTCCACAGCAGGGGGTTTTGTAAACGCCCAAACATCCCAGCTTCTACCTGGAAATGTGGACATGCTCATATTCCTAAAGACCTGTCTGATGAAGCTGAGTGAGTGACTTAGTGAGTTTGAGTTGAGCTACTTGAAAAAGTGAAACTTGATTTATTTGATTGCAGGGTCTGATTATTCAATGTCCTTGTTTATTTATTTAGTTTATTTGTGAGGTGCAGTGGCACAAAGGAAATGCCTGCTTTGTTTGGTAGTACCAGCAGGTACACAAATACTGGTTGTTCTTGTTCCAGTCTGTTACTGTCACTTTGTTTTTGACACTTTAAAATACTACTATCCTACTGAAATGCTGTACAAATCAGATTTATTATTTAATAAAGAACATTTTTCAAGTAATATCTTTTCTTTATTTTTCAGTATTGTGATATTATCGTACCGTGGACTTGTTATCGGGATATTATCGTACCGTGGACTTGTTATCGTGATAAATATCGTACCGTGGACTTGTTATCGTGATAAATATCGTACCGTGGACTTGTTATCGTGATAAATATCGTACCGTGGACTTGTTATCGTGATAAATATCGTACCGTGGACTTGTTATCGTGATAAATATCGTACCGTGGACTTGTTATCGTGATAAATATCGTACCGTGGACTTGTTATCGTGATATTATCGTACCGTGGACTTGTTATCATGATAAATATCGTACCGTGGACTTGTTATCGTGATATTATCGTACCGTGGACTTGTTATCGTGATAAATATCGTACCGTGGACTTGTTATCGTGATAAATATCGTACTGTGGACTTGTTATCGTGATATTATCGTACAGTGGACTTGTTATCGTGATAAATATCGTACTGTGGACTTGTTATCGTGATATTATCGCACCGTGGACTTGTTATCGTGATAAATATCGTACCGTGGACTTGTTATCGTGATAAATATCGTACCGTGGACTTGTTATCGTGATATTATCGTACCGTGGACTTGTTATCGTGATAAATATCGTACTGTGGACTTGTTATCGTGATATTATCGCACCGTGGACTTGTTATCGTGATAAATATCGTACTGTGGACTTGTTATCGTGATAAATATCGCACAGTGGACTTGTTATCGTGATATTATCGTACCGTGGACTTGTTATCGTGATATTATCGTACCGTGGACTTGTTATCGTGATAAATATCGTACCGTGGACTTGTTATCGTGATATTATCGTACCGTGGACTTGTTATCGTGATATTATCGTACCGTGGACTTGTTATCGTGATAAATATCGTACCGTGGACTTGTTATCATGATAAATATCGTACCGTGGACTTGTTATCGTGATAAATATCGTATCGTGGACTTGTTATCATGATAAATATCGTACCGTGGACTTGTTATCGTGATATTATCGTACCGTGGACTTGTTATCGTGATAAATGTCGTACCGTGGACTTGTTATCATGATAAATATCATACTGTGGACTTGTTATCGTGATATTATCGTACCGTGGACTTGTTATCGTGATATTATCGTACCGTGGACTTGTTATCGTGATAAATATCGTACGGTGGACTTGTTATCATGATAAATATCGTACCGTGGACTTGTTATCATGATAAATATCGTACCGTGGACTTGTTATCGTGATATTATCATACCGCGGACTTGTTATCGTGATATTATCGTACCGTGGACTTGTTATCGTGATATTATCGTACCGTGGACTTGTTATCGTGATAAATATCGTACCGTGGACTTGTTATCGTGATAAATATCGTACCGTGGACTTGTTATCGTGATATTATCGTACCGTGGACTTGTTATCGTGATAAATATCGTACCGTGGACTTGTTATCGTGATAAATGTCGTACCGTGGACTTGTTATCATGATAAATATCATACTGTGGACTTGTTATCGTGATATTATCGTACCGTGGACTTGTTATCGTGATATTATCGTACCGTGGACTTGTTATCGTGATAAATATCGTACGGTGGACTTGTTATCATGATAAATATCGTACCGTGGACTTGTTATCATGATAAATATCGTACCGTGGACTTGTTATCGTGATATTATCATACCGCGGACTTGTTATCGTGATATTATCGTACCGTGGACTTGTTATCGTGATATTATCGTACCGTGGACTTGTTATCGTGATAAATATCGTACCGTGGACTTGTTATCGTGATAAATATCATACCGTGGACTTGTTATCGTGATATTATCGTACCGTGGACTTGTTATCGTGATAAATATCGTACCGTGGACTTGTTATCGTGATAAATATCGTACAGTGGACTTGTTATCGTGATATCATCGTACCGTGGACTTGTTATCGTGATATTATCGTACCGCGGACTTGTTATCGTGATATTATCGTACCGTGGACTTGTTATCGTGATATTATCGTACCGTGGACTTGTTATCGTGATAAATATCGTACCGTGGACTTGTTATCGTGATATTATCGTACCGCGGACTTGTTATTGTGATAGATATCGTACTGTGTGGACTTGTTATCGTGATATTATCGTACCGTGGACTTGTTATCGTGATAAATATCGTACAGTGGACTTGTTATCGTGATATTATCGTACCGTGGACTTGTTATTGTGATATATATCGTACCGTGGACTTGTTATCGTGATAGATATCGTACCGTGGACTTGTTATCGTGATAAATATCGTACCGTGGACTTAATATCGTACCGTGGACTTGTTATCGTGATATTATCGTACCGTGGACTTGTTATTGTGATAAATATCGTACCGTGGACTTGTTATCGTGATATTATCGCACCGTTGACTTGTTACCGTGGACTTGTTATCGTGATATTATCGTACCGTGGACTTGTTATCGTGATATTATCGTACCGTGGACTTGTTATCGTGATATTATCGTACCGTGGACTTGTTATCGTGATATTATCGTACCGTGGACTTGTTATCGTGATATTATCATACCGTGAGTTTTTGGTATCGTTACATCCCAAATATAAATACAATAAAAACGGACCTTTTCTCAAAATATTATGATATTTATTTTGTAGGATTTTGTGGACTTGTTATCGTGATATTATCGCACCGTGGACTTGTTATCGTGATAAATATCGTACCGTGGACTTGTTATCGTGATAAATATCGTACCGTGGACTTGTTATCGTGATAAATATCGTACTGTGGACTTGTTATCGTGATATTATCGTACCGTGGACTTGTTATCGTGATAAATATCGTACTGTGGACTTGTTATCGTGATATTATCGCACCGTGGACTTGTTATCGTGATAAATATCGTACTGTGGACTTGTTATCGTGATAAATATCGCACAGTGGACTTGTTATCGTGATATTATCGTACCGTGGACTTGTTATCGTGATATTATCGTACCGTGGACTTGTTATCGTGATAAATATCGTACCGTGGACTTGTTATCGTGATATTATCGTACCGTGGACTTGTTATCGTGATATTATCGTACCGTGGACTTGTTATCGTGATAAATATCGTACCGTGGACTTGTTATCATGATAAATATCGTACCGTGGACTTGTTATCGTGATAAATATCGTATCGTGGACTTGTTATCATGATAAATATCGTACCGTGGACTTGTTATCGTGATATTATCGTACCGTGGACTTGTTATCGTGATAAATGTCGTACCGTGGACTTGTTATCATGATAAATATCATACTGTGGACTTGTTATCGTGATATTATCGTACCGTGGACTTGTTATCGTGATATTATCGTACCGTGGACTTGTTATCGTGATAAATATCGTACGGTGGACTTGTTATCATGATAAATATCGTACCGTGGACTTGTTATCATGATAAATATCGTACCGTGGACTTGTTATCGTGATATTATCATACCGCGGACTTGTTATCGTGATATTATCGTACCGTGGACTTGTTATCGTGATATTATCGTACCGTGGACTTGTTATCGTGATAAATATCGTACCGTGGACTTGTTATCGTGATAAATATCATACCGTGGACTTGTTATCATGATATTATCGTACCGTGGACTTGTTATCGTGATAAATATCGTACCGTGGACTTGTTATCGTGATAAATGTCGTACCGTGGACTTGTTATCATGATAAATATCATACTGTGGACTTGTTATCGTGATATTATCGTACCGTGGACTTGTTATCGTGATATTATCGTACCGTGGACTTGTTATCGTGATAAATATCGTACGGTGGACTTGTTATCATGATAAATATCGTACCGTGGACTTGTTATCATGATAAATATCGTACCGTGGACTTGTTATCGTGATATTATCATACCGCGGACTTGTTATCGTGATATTATCGTACCGTGGACTTGTTATTGTGATATTATCGTACCGTGGACTTGTTATCGTGATAAATATCGTACCGTGGACTTGTTATCGTGATAAATATCATACCGTGGACTTGTTATCGTGATATTATCGTACCGTGGACTTGTTATCGTGATAAATATCGTACCGTGGACTTGTTATCGTGATAAATATCGTACCGTGGACTTGTTATCGTGATATCATCGTACCGTGGACTTGTTATCGTGATATTATCGTACCGCGGACTTGTTATCGTGATATTATCGTACCGTGGACTTGTTATCGTGATAAATATCGTACCGTGGACTTGTTATCGTGATATTATCGTACCGCGGACTTGTTATTGTGATAGATATCGTACTGTGTGGACTTG